CACCTATGACCAGGGGTGGGCACGGCCCGAGATTGTTACATGAGTATCGTGACCTTGGTTAACATGTCAGGGGTGAGCACGACCCTAGGTTAGGGGTAATGTGACCTTGGCACAGTGTTATATCAGGGGTGAGCACGACTCTGGAGTGTTACGTGGGTATCGTGACCTTGGTTAACATGTCAGGGGTGAGCACGACCCTGGGATAGGGGTAACGTGACCTTGGCACATTGTTATATTAGGGGTGAGCATGGCTCTGGATTGTTACGTGGGTATCGTGACCTTGGTTAACATGTCAGGGGTGAGCAAGGCCCTGGGATAGGGATAACATGACCTTGGCACAGCGTTATATCAAGGGTGAGCACGACCTGAGATTGTTAAATGGGTAGCGTGACCTTGGCATAGTGTGAAGTGCAAGATTTGTGATGATTTGTGTGATTGAGAATTATGACGTGATGACGATGCATGATTGACTAAAATACGATATGTTGAAATATTTATGAATATTAAGTTATAATGAGATAATATGTTGTGTTTTCTTATGTGTTATATATATAGATGTTTTCTTTTCTCACCGTGCGATTTGTGGATATTTTAGGTGAGGAAGATCCGGCTACGAGTGACATCTAGAATGCCAACGGTTGAGTTGTGGGTATGCTCTGATATTGTGACATCGGGGCAGAGGATTTTCTTTAAGACATAGATTTTTATATGGAATTGGAATTGTAAATATTATTTTTGAAAACAATTTGTAAATTCTTGCGTTTCATTTTTATTATTGTGGTTATTGAAGAATAATTTTGAAGATTCTCATGTGAACCCTTTTACCGAAATTGAAAAAATTTTGTTATTAAGTTTTCATTATTATAATATATGTGTTGGGGTAGTAAAGGTGTCACACCATTCCAGACCACTAAAAAGACCTATTTTTGGTAGCCCGGAACCAACTTGAACGGGCCGTTCCAAACTACTAAAAAGGCCTATAACCCTAGTTGGGAATGGGTCGTTCTGATTTAAGAACGGACCGTTCCAAACATGGCTGTTGTGATTTGAAACTCATCTCCAGAACAGACTGTTCTAGTTTTAGAACGGGTTGTTCCAGATGTGAATTTTACACATGATGAAAGTATCCAAAACGGGCCGTTTCGGATTCGAAATAGGCTGTTCTGGCCACTCCTGAAATCTATAAATAGCAGACTCTAGCACTACTTCCAGACATACTCTCTAAAGACCAAGGAAAACCAAGAGAAGGAGATCAAGCATATTTCGCTCTAGCTTTGTCTTCTTCTTATCCAGGTACGGGAGACTGAGAAACCTCGCTCTAGGTGTGAGAGTATATGTGGGGTAGTGGGATTGGCCCCCAATCCTATGTTTGTTTTATGCTCATGTATGAAGGGTTTTTCCCAATTATATCTGTTTCATCTCTCTTTCTCCCTGAATGTTCTAATTGATGTAATTAGTATGTATGTATGAGTAGTGTTTGTTTTTGGATCATATTTGTAGACTTTGGTGTTCCTATGGGAAATCCTATGGGAATGCATTGAGATATATACATGTATAAAAGGCATTAAACTCCTGTAGAAAAGCAAAATAAAAAGTGCAAAAAAAAAGTTACAAAAAGAATTACAAAAAAAAAAGAGTATAAGAAAAAGCCAAGGAGTAGAAAATTGTGTACTAATTTGTTCTCGGTTTTGGCATTTATTTTTGCTTGCCTTATAAATTTTCTTTCCAGCCACTTATTAATTGTTTTGAGTCATATTTTGTTTTATAATCTTAGATTTTATTCTTTTAATCTACTCTAGTGCCATTGTTAGGTTTTCCTTTGTGTGCTAGCCTTTCAAATTGTGCCTTATTTGTTGCTTGTCTTTCTTTGGATTTCTTCCTAGTCTTGTCTATTTAATTCTAACACTTGGTGTATCTTTTCCTAATTGTGCTTTTTCAGTTTTTCCTATAGAACTCCAACAACTTAAGGTGTGTTGAGTGCCTAACTCTTGGTGGGAGACAAACACCTAGGAATAACCAACATCAAGGTTATTCCTAAGAGAGGAGTGATACACTTGGAGAGGTTGCTGCACTTGGGAGAAACTTGGAGAAGGACACAACAACAATTTTTGAGAAAATTTGTGAAAACTAGTGACTAGTTTAGAGATAGAAATTTTTGTTTCAAAATTTTTCTTTGTTAAATATGTCTCTAAGTTTGTCACTAATTTAGTGGCTAAATTTTGTTTTCTAAAATTTGGTGCAGCACTACTTTTCATTTAGTGTGAATTTACATTTCATTTGGTGTAATTTTGCATTTCATTTGTTTTTGTAAAATTTTCAATTTCTTTCATTTTTTGTACGAGGCCTTTATTAGGAGTGTCTTGGAGTGCCTTTGGTGTATCTACTTTTCGTTGGTCACTCGAAATCCCAGGGATCCGGATGTACACGAGCATGCTTCACAACCTCTCAGAATGAAGAACTTAAAGGAGACATGATTTAAGAGCGGTTA